CACTGTCCACTTAAAAAATAATATCTAGCGCACAACAAGGTGCCCTGTAAGATTTCATTCATTGTGAACCTGCTGATTCTCTGTTCCTTGACTGGGTGCTGATGACAGGTTTAATATTCTCCTCTGCAAGATTAGTCTTATTTCAGCTTGTTACATTCTACAACCCAAGATCTGATGACTTAAAAAAAGGTAACGAGTCCTGTGTTGATTCCATTTTTCACTGTAAAGTCGTTTGTACTCCCACTTGGAGTATTCTTTTTCTAGTTAACATGAACGATTCCAGTCACATACACAGCTCTGTGTGTTCTAGAACTGGATCGCCACTAAAGATCCCGCCTTCTTCTGAGCTGTGACATTTCCTTAGTAGCTTTTCACGGTCTGCTTGCATGACATCGTGGGGAGATGCCTCTGACCAGTTCCGATGCGGAGAAAAGAGGCCGTCAGAGTTTCCTTGGTAAAATGTTTACGGGTTTAAGAAGTTTATGAATCAGCTGTAAATATTTGCTCTGGGTTTATGAGACCTCCACTCATAAACGTGGCATGTCTGTCTCTTGCTCTTTGAAATGTCTTTAGAGAATCAGCTGCTCAGGGAGGGCATAGGTGGCGGAGGAAGTGTTATATGTTACAGGTTCCGAAAACCCTCCATTTTGTGTTTGATTTTATTGTTGAAACAGCATACTTAGAGTTAAAGGCATAAACCTTTAAAGGCATAAAGGTTTTATCTTTAAAATCCCATTCTAGGCCTGACTCTTGGTTGCTTTTTAAAGTGTTTGTCTTGATGCCAGAGGGCAGCAGAGCTTTCCTGAGCACTGATCTCACAGACTCACATGTGGGGCGGGGGGTTGGGTCCCAGCGGTCCCTTTTCCTTTCTTTCTTTTTTTAATGGATTTTATTTATGTATTTGTTTATTTATTGGCATGTGGGATCTTAGTTCCCTGACTAGGGATGGAACCCGAGCCCCTTGCATTGGAAGTGGGGAGTCTTAACCACCAGCCTGCCAGGGAGGTTCCACTTTCTCCTTTCTTGATTGACGGGACTGAATGCTGGAGTGAGCACGAAAGCTGCTGCAGCGTCTTTTATTGGGAGAAGAGACTGGAAACGTAGCTTGTAATGAATTAAAATTGGGTGGAAACAAAATTTTTGTTAACAGCCTAGATGAGCGTTTTATGAAGGATCAAGAGCTCTGATGAAGGGTCTCAAAGTTGCAGTTGGGAGGTTTGAGCCTTGGTCTTTGCCTCACCGCTGCCTCCAAGTGGTGGAATCATCAGGTCTCCTGAGGTCCTGATGAGGTTCATCAAAGTGCAGCAGGCAGCTCCTGAAGGCTCAGTCTCCCCCTGAGTGTCTCTGATTTGGAGGAGCCCGATCCGTTTTCAGCAGCTGGAATTCTCCAAAAACCACTCTTCCGGGACCTAGTGCCTCGGTCGGCTCAGGGCCGAGTATCACGGCCACGTCCTCTGCCGGCTCTCTCCTCCTTCTTTGCAAACAGGCCCCAGGAGCCCTGCCCCTTCTGTCCTCCTCCCCGGGGGTGGCAGCTGCCTCCCGCCCACCCCCCACCTCCTGGGTCCTCCTGCTGCCCGTCTTGGCCCTGAACACGTTAACACTCACCACCACAGAGACAGATAAAGCTGGCCCTGGGGTCCTCCTCGGATCCTCCAGGTGGAGAGGGGGGTGATGGAGTGGGGCTGTCTGACCTGGGAAGGTGCCTCGGAGAAGTTCCGGCTTCCACCCCAGGCCACCTGCATTGGACCCCTGCTTCGTAGCTGGACAGTTGTGCGACCTGGTAAGTCCCTTGAGTGCCCGTCTGTCAGGGTTCCTGGAAGGATTAAATAAGGTGCTGCACGTAAAGCAGTTAGAGGAGGGCTGACACCCCTAGTTCTCGTCACTGCTGTGACAGCCTGTGGTCTCTGGGTGGAAACGGAGGTGCCTGTCAGGGCTGGAGCTGCAGGGCCTGCAGGAGGCATGGTCTGAGCTGCCGCTGGACGGGAGGGTGTAAGGGAAGCACAGACTTTCACTGCAACAAGTCAGCTACCCCAGAGATTCCGTACCAGGCCACCCTGGCAAGGAAACGTGCTGCGTCCGTGCCTCCGGCTAGTGGGTCAGAAAACAGACTTGATCATTGATGCCCAGTGCGGCTTGGGCGAAAAGAATTGTGGGCAGAACTGTTGGGTGACCCCCTGAGGCATTTTCTGGAGCCTGACTGCTTTCCCTTTGGGTTTGCCTCCCTGCCTTTAGCAGCTGGAAACCCGCCTCACAGCCCTTGGTAACTGGTGACTGCAAGACCTGCTGACTTTGTCCAGGGAGCATGATTCTGATGGGAGGGTCTAAACCCTGGGGTGACTGCATCTTGGAAGAGCTCCAGGGGAAAGGTTTTCTCTTCAGGTGGCTTTTTCTGTTCTCGGACGTTTCATGATAAACCACCTTATTAAAGTTGGAGGTGGAAGTTCTTAGCAGCTTGGCTTTAGAAGATGACGTTTAAGGTAACTGCCTTTTGGCTTAGCATCTTCTGATGTTACAAAAGCTATCCTCTTCTATCAATTCCTGAGACTAGATAGAGTATTACAAGAAAATAACTTTTCCCACTTATAATTTATAACATTTAGGAGAAAAAAAATAGTGATAGCCTCCAAGAAGTCTTTCTTATGCACCCAGCCACTAATTCCCCTGGCCCACCTGCCGGGTTATACCACTTCTATGTTAATACACAATTGATCGCAGCATTTCTTCTGGGCCAATGAAATGGGCTCTTGCTAATAGAAGATACACAAGTTGAACGACAGTATCCATTGAGTGTTATGGAAAGAAAGGAGAGTCTTAACTTTTGAAGCACTAAATGGCCTGCATCTTTGGACAACCCTTACTACTGCGTGTTCCTTCCTTATAACAGTCTTGCAAATAGGTTAAAATAATGTTTACGGCTCATCAGTTTTTTCCAATGGAAACTATGACATCACATTTACGTTATCTATATTTTAAAGTGAGATATTTGGTGCTTTTCAACTAAACTGATTATATCTTACTGTACAGTCTGAAATGTTCTGGGAATTGCGTGATTTCCTCCAAAACTGATTTTTTTTTTTTTTTTTGCGGTACGTGGGCCTCTCACTATTGTGGCCTCTCCCGTTGCGGAGCACAGGCTCTGGACACACAGGCTCAGCGGCCATGGCTCACGGGCCCAGCCGTTCTGCGGCACGTGGGATCTTCCCAGACCGGGGCACGAACCTGGGTCCCCTGCATCGGCAGGCGGACTCTCAACCACTGCGCCACCAGGGAAGCCCAGTGATGGTTTTAAGAACCACATCGTACATTTGATTGCATTTCTCTTTGTTCCTTGTCCTTGGAGAAATGCGTGTCCTGTAGGTTTCCACCTGGGTGCCTTGCCCTGAGAGCTCTGTCTCAGGAGAAGGCAGGAGAGGGTCCCTGGACGGGGTGGGCGTGGGGTCAGTCTGACAGCCGCTCAGTTCCTGTGGCTAACTGGCCGGGCGCCTCACACACCTGAGCGGTCCTTCTGGGTCTCAGTGTTTTTCCTTGAAATGACTTTGGAGTCAATGCTTTCTGAAGCCCCAGTGATCTATGATATTACTTTATAATCTCCAGCTGTTGTACTGTATATACATCAAGGTGCTTACTTGGTGCCCAGTGGTTTCCTTCACCTTGTCCTCCAACCTCCCCAAAGACCGGAGTGTCTCCAGTGGATAATCTCAAACAGGCTAACGTGCAGCAACTATGCTTTGAAGCAAACCTCATTTCATTTACTGAAGAGCCCTTAATCTTGATTCTGTCAGGGTAGTCCAAGCAGAATTTCTTCAGGGTTTTCCTTGATCTCCTCTCCCCTCCCCTCCCCTCCCCTTTTCTTCCTTCCTTTTCCCTTCCCTTCCTGTCCTTGTTTCCCTCCCTCCCTCCCTCCCTCCCTCCCTTTTCCCTTTCTTTTCTTCCCTTCTTTTTTTTTTTTTTTTAAAGAAGATGTTGTGGGTAGGAAATTTATTAATTTATTTTTATTAATTTATTTTTGCTGTGTTGGGTCTTCGTTTCTGTGCGAGGGCTTTCTCTAGTTGTGGCAAGTGGGAGCCACTCTTCATCGCGGTGTGCGGGCCTCTCACTATCGCGGCCTCTCTTGTTGTGGAGCACAGGCTCCAGACGCGCAGGCTTAGTGGTTGTGGCTCACGGGCCTAGTTGCTCTGTGGCATATGGGATCCTCCCAGGCCAGGGCTCGAACCCATGTCCCCTGCATTAGCAGGCAGACTCTCAACCACTGCGCCACCAGGGGAGCCCTCTTTCCTTCTTTCTTTTACGTGAAGTATAGTTGACTTACAATATTGTGTTAGTTTCAGGTGCACAGCAAAATGATTTCTTTATACACATATGTATATATATTCGTTTTTTGATTCTTTTCCATTATAGTTTTTTACAAGATATTGAATATAGTTCCCTGTGCTATACAGTAAATCCTTATTGTTTATCTATTTTATGTACAGTGGTATGTATCTGTTAATCCCATAATCCTAATTTATTCCCCCCACCTTTGGTAACCATAAGTTTATTTTCTATGTCTGTGAATCTTTCTGTTTTGAAAACAAGTGCATTTGTACTATTTTTTGTGTTCCACATGTAAATGATATCATATGATATTTGTCTTTGTCTGACTTACTTCACTTAATATGATAATCTCTAGGTCCATCCATGTCGCTGCAAATGGCATGATTTAATTATTTTTCATGGCCGAGTAATATTCCATTGTGTGTATAGACCACATCTTCTTTATCCATTCCTCTGTTGATAGACACTTAGGTTGGTTCCATGTCTTTCTTGAGTCACCTGTCTCTAAAATCAGCAAACAGAAACTTTGCAAAGAATTCAACAGTATTCTCCTACACATTGAATTTGTTTCTCTCTTGCATGAAGGATTTTCTGGTTTACATGGAAGGCCATTGCCTTTCCATTCTTCACACTAGTATTGATATGCTTCTGTTTTTTTTTTTTTTTTTTTTTTTGTCTTTCGACAGAAGAAGGCTCAAGCTTGGAGGAAACCGGCTTTAACTGGGGAGAATATTTGGAAGAGACGGGGACCAGTGCAGCTCCTCACACATCGTTCAAACATGTGGGTGACCTCCTTTCTCCTTCTGATCTGTTTGCGGGGGTGGGAAGGGTGTCTTCAGGAAGATGCCAAACTTACTGGAAGAAAGGGAATGAGAAGAAAAGAGAAATTTGGCCAAAATTTCTTAGAAATGCAGAGGAGATGTGGAAGTGAGTTTGATTTTCACAGAGGGCTGCAGGAAATGTGGGCCTTGCTTTAATCCAGGGCTGGGCCTCGGGGTGGTGCTCAGCATGAGAAATGGTGTGTGGTCTTAACCTCATTCTGTGCCTCAAAAAGCCAGATTAGAATGATGTGTTCTCTGCTGTCTGGGGCGCACAGCCCAAGACAGGTAAGGTTGATGTGAATAAATAAAAAGCCAGCAAACTAGGCAAGTAGGCATCAATGAGTAATGTCTTCTTAGGAGATGTAATGGCTGTATATTTTAAGTTTGAATTGATATTTTCCTTTTGAAAAGACACCTAAAAGCGTTAGAGCCATTTGTGGACAGATGAGTCAAATTACAGGAAAGACCATAAATATTCAGGAAATGTTTGGATCAAACCAAAAAAAAAATCACCCTCATCTATACTGTTTTTTGAACAATGCAAATAGCATGCCAAGCAGAGGGCAAGTCCCAGGAAATAAAAAAATTAAGTTTTTACCAGATGTTTGCTTAGATATGAGATTTTGGTAATATATCATTAGCAAGAAAAAGGTTGAGTTTCCAGGACCTAAGTTCTTAGGTATTACTATTGCTTTATTGGAAATGAAAATTTAATACTGAGAAACATTTTTTCCCCCCACTGGGCCTTTCCAAGGCAAAGATTTAGCCTCAGTATCATAAACAAATTGGGGGACTTTCTCAACCTGGTCTTCCTTCTGGCTCTTCTGTTGAATTAAGAAGCCATTTTATTTTAAGGTGACATTTTATTCTTTTTGAAAGTGAAGTGTTCCTTTGAAAAGGAATTGAAGACCTTATTAAATTTTCATGACCTTGTTAAGGGTGGATCGCATTCCGATTCTCTTTTTATACTGACACTTATACTGTGATAATTGCTGGTTTATTATGAATGGGACTGTGGCCATTTAGTGAAACCAAGAGTGAAATATTAAAACATAATAAAACTAAAACTCACCCAGCATACAGTGTGGATTCCATTTTGCAAAATCCATTGTAACATCTGCCTTTTACGATTCCAGGATGACTTGGTTAGATTTCTCCAGGTGCTTTAGGAATGAGATATATAGATCAACAGCTTTTTCCTTCCTTTTCTATACCAGGAAGTTCTCAATATCTCTGCATACGGAGTCAGTCCTGTTCTCTTTCATTCGATGCATTTTTCTGCCCCATTTTCAGGCACAGTATAGTGCCCTGTACTGTGGATGCAGAATGTCCCCGGGCCTGTCTGCCAGGCTTAAAGGAAGAGTAGCCCAGGACGCGTGGGCAAACAGTTCATAATTCTATCATCTCTTAAGCAGCAGCTACTCAGGGACATCCGATGTGCTGGCCTTACAATATTATAACTCACCAGGATGGAAAGCTTTCTTTTGCAGGGAGGGCTGGCAAATATTAATAGATGATAACCCTTCATTAAAAAAAAAAAAAGAAAATCCATTTTCTGAGGCTGCACTGTTCACGCAGTAGCCACTAGCCATCCAGCACTTGGAAAGTGTGTCATCCAAATTGAGATTGAAACCAATTAGGACCCTGCAGGGCCTTCCTGAGAACAGACCCCCCTGTGTCCCCACCTCCAAAACTTCAGCCTCCTAAGGCTTTCTCTGAGTTGCAAAGAGCAAGTTTAATCAGAGAAGAAAATGTAGAAACTAAGGAAAGCAGTCAAGCAAGACAAAATAATAAGAGTTTAGCCATAACACAAATTCAGGGGCCCTTAGTTCCTGCTCAGGGGCTATAGATAATATCCTGAGCCGTATCCTTGAGTTGATTTGCAGATACTGAAACCCCACCAGGTGGGAGAAGTTAACTGCATGCTGACCACCAGCAGGCAGACCCCAGACTGGTTGGAACCAGAAGGTGGATGATTGAGATTCTCGAAACATCACCCTGTTAACTCACCACCAACCAATCAGAGAATTATTCGTGAGCTGGTGACACGCCCTGTGACCCACACCCCTCACCTTGCCTTTAGAAACCCTTCCCTGAAAGCCATTGGGGAGTTTGGGTCTTTTGAACATGAGCTGCCCATTCTCTTGCTTGGTGCCCTGCAGTAAACTCTGCACTTTCCTTCACCACAGCCCGGTCAGTAGACTGGCTTTGCTGCACCTGTTGACTAACGGACCCAAGTTCTGTTCGGTAACAAGATGTGCTGTAAGTGTAGAATACACACCAGATTTCAGAGGCTTCATTGGAAAATAAAAATGTAAAATTTCTCACTACTCTATTTTTATATTGGTTCCCTTTTGAAATGATGCTATTTGGGATCTGTTGGGTTAAATAAAATACATTACTAAAATTAATTTCATCTCTCTTTTTTTTTTAAAGTGGCCACTAGAAAATTTAACGTCACACCAGTGGCTTACATTATATTTCTTTTAGATGGTGCTGATCTAGGGCAACAGAAATATTAAGTGCTGTGTTTTCAGTCGTTCACATAATCTTCTGGATGGACGTGTCCAGTGTAATGACGGATTTTCTGTGTTCCTTAAGGTTGAGATCAGCATTCAGAGCAACTTCCAGCCGGGGATGAAATTGGAGGTAGCCAACAAGAAGAACCCGGACACGTACTGGGTGGCCACGGTCATCACCACCTGCGGGCAGCTGCTGCTTCTGCGCTACTGTGGTTACGGGGAGGACCGCCGTGCCGACTTCTGGTGTGACGTGGTGATTGCGGATCTGCACCCCATAGGGTGGTGCACGCAGAACAATAAGACCCTGATGCCCCCGGATGGTGAGCACGGGGGGGCCCAGCTCTCGGGCATCACTCCTGATGCTTGTAGAGAAAACCTTGTAGAGATTCAATAACTGATATCCTAGAAAGGTCCAGCACTTTCAGGGTCTCTCCTTGAGTTGCATTAGCCTGAGGGCGCTGGAGTGAGGGGGGACTGGGTGCATTTTCAGATGTTGGAGCTGAACCCGATGGTTGAGCCCACCATAGCCTTTATGCCTTTGAGCCTAATCCTCGGATGGGTTTCTGGAGGTAGGAAAGGAAGACTGAAGGGATGCCCGTGATGGAGGCCTTGTTCTCCCTTTGCTGATGGATTATCTTGCTTTTCTTTTGCTTTAGAGACTTGATGTTTTGAATAGCACTATAGTGCATCAGAAACAGGTTTCTCTAATATGTTTTAATCTGTCTTGTTGTGGGGAGACTGTCAAGGTGAGAAACATATAGAAAACCAAACAGGTGAGGAGAAGTGACATTACTCTCAAAGAGATTGTCAAAGCTTGTGTAGATTAGATCCATTTAGCTCATGGAAAATGGTGGTTCTCTACTGGGGCGATTTTACCTCCCAGGGACATCCAGTGATGTCTGCAAGCATTTTTAGTTGTGAGAGGGGAGGTGGGGGATGCTGCTGGCATCTGGTGGGAGGGGCCAGGGATGTTGCAACACATCCTACAAGGCACAGCAACCCCCCCAGACGGTGACGTTATTGGGCTCAAACTGCCAATAGTGCTGACTTCGAGAAATCCTGCTGTAAAAGAATGGGCTGCCTCTTAGGATGATCAGGAACTCATCCGATCCTGTAAGTGAGAGAAACTGCCTTACCAAAAAGCTGAATCTCAACACCCTGTCCTCTTTGCACTTGAAAACTCCTGATGCTAATTCTCAAGCAGGTGTAATGTCTCCTTAGGACCTGCCTGCCTATCTTAATTTTGACTTGATATTTTTATTTCGAAGCAACGCGTGAAGTATTAGAGCTGACTCCGAGGTTCCTTGCGTCCATCCTATGCACAATTGCTTTTCCCTTCTGGAGCATTTGTAAAGTTACGTAGAGAAGTGTCATAACAAACGCACGGAGTTTGAGTTGCATTTAAGTGACGTGTGTAAGGAGTGAATCCGTTGCCTTGGCCTTAGCGAATGTGTTGGCCCTTTATTGTCTCAGAAAGAAGAGAGAAGGCCCTTCTTTCTTTACTTATTATTTTTAAAAATTTATTTATTTTATTTTATTTATTTTTGGCTGCGTTGGGTCTTTGTTGCCGTGTGTGGGCTTTCTCTAGTTGCGGCGAGGGGGGGGCTACTCTTGTTGCAGTGCGTGGGCTTCTCATTACAGTGGCTTCTCTTGCTGCAGAGCACGGGCTCTAGGCACGTGGGCTTCAGTAGTTGTGGCTCGCGGGCTCTAGAGCGCAGGCTCAGTAGTTGTGGCTCACGGGCTTAGTTGCTCCGCGGCATGTGGGATCTTTCCAGACCAGGGCTCGAACACGTGTCCCCTGCATTGGGAGGCGGATTCTTAACCACTGCGCCACCAGGGAAGCCCTGTAGCTTTATTTTTAATATAACACCTCACAGAGGGCAATATTTGTCCTTCTGTGACTGGCTTATTTCACTTAGCATAATATCTTCTAGGTTCATCCACGTGGTAGCCTATGACACGATTTCCTTCTTTTTAACTGCTGAATAATATTCCATCTGGCTTTGAATTAAAACAGCCACTGAGGTGAGACTATAAGATTATTTAATATCCCTGTGATTTCCGATCCGTCATAAAAAAAAATCAGTCTTTTTTTCATTTTCCGGCTTCTTGTGAACTATATAGTTATTACGATTCCTTTAAAATTTTTAAAAAATTGAAGTATAGTTGGTTTACAATATTATATTAGTTTCAGGTGTACAGCATAATGATTCAGTATTTCTATAGAGTATACTCCATTTAAAGTTATTTCAAAACAATGGCTCTATTTCCCTGTGTTGTACAGTATATCCTCTCTGCTTGCCTATTTTGTACACAGTAGTTTATATCTCAAAATAAATCAGTCTTGATGGATGAATTATACTGATGGAATATTGGGAAAATATCAGTTTTAGAGAACTAGACACTTTCCCACTTGCCAGCTCTGCACACAAAAGCCATGTAGATAGAGCCCACATGCTCCCAGGAGGGTCCAGACATGAGTTGATCCCAGGGGCAGATGCATACCTGGGTACACCGAGAGTAGGGGGCATAGAGGGGGACCGAGAGGCAGGCCCTTCTCCTGTGTGATATCTTGCCTTTTCGCTGTCCTTGCTTATCTCATGACTTACTCTTAAATTTTGACACTTTCTGAAACACCGTGGAGAAGACGTAAGAGGGTTTTACTTTATAATAGAGCCTCTAGTGGATCATTTTAGTGAGAAGTTCCAGGGTACAGAATTTTAACACTCTAAGAGCTAATGGGTTCATTTGGTAAAAAAAAAAAAATCCATGCTGTTGCTTGAGAAAAGAAGGCAGAGTTGATGAATCAATTCTTCTTCCTTGCCTGGGTGAAAAATGTGGCAGCTGCCGCAGTTTCAGAAACACTATCAAATTTGTATGCTCCTGACTCTGTGCTCTTAGGCAAGACACAGACACACTTAAAATGACAAATTGAAAATGAAAAATGGGGAAGCCCCATGAAAAGAGAAACCATTTATGTGAATGAAAGATTTGAAGTCTGTTCAGACCATCCCAAGTGATGCTAATTGGAGAATTTCTTTATTGCTCCTTTTAAAGAACTTTAAAAAAATTGAGTAGGTGATCGATACAGCTTGGAAATCTCGAGTACAGAGAACAAAGTCAGGAAGTAGCAGGTTCACGGGGCAAGGAGGTTGTATTGATTGCTGTAGTGCAGGATAATTATTGCTTTGTAGCCAGAGGTGGCAGCTTGTTCCAGAGGGAATCGTAGAATCTATTCTTGCACGAGGATTCTTGTTGGTGTGGTTTTCTGTCTTACAGAGCTCATTGCACTGTAAATCCCGCAGCTGTACCTGGTCGATCTTTGTCGTGGTTAAACTTGAAAGGTGTCCCAGAATATTAACAGGAGTGAAAGCGGTCCATGACACCTCATGTATTTGTTTGGGAGGCTCCGTGGTGATAGATTTTCTTACTGATCCCAGGAATCGGGGTAGTATGAAGCAGGGACATGGCGTTTGGAGCCAGAATATCAGGTTTCTTTCCTTGCCTCTGCCATTAATGTAGGTACCTCTCGCTCTCCCATTTCCTCATCTTTGAAATGAGGAGGTGATAGTGTATAATCACTAAAGAGCTTTCCAGTCTCACCTGCTTTGGTTTGTGATCTTTGGAAAGGAAAGAAGGAAGGAGGAGGGTAAGTGAGGAATGGAGTTTGTTTTGGGATTAGGATTGATGGAAATCTAGCCCAGGAGTCTGTGCAAAGCACCGAAGTCAAGTTTCTGTGTGACTTTGTGGGATGGTGAAGTTTCAGTGGGTTGGGAGGCAAACTAGGTTGGGAATCATGATGAGCATTTGGGTCCTTTGTCACCTGCCGTGGATAGAATTTCACCCAATACAGAATTGTAGACTCTGGTTCCTCGATGGAAGCCAGAGACCTCGGAGTACTCAGTCCCTGAGAGATCGATCAGTATGTGGATGTCAGTTTCAAAATATTGTTGGGCCAAGCAAGAGGATGGGAGTTTTGGGTGGTTTTGTTCATTGATGGGAGAAAGGAGAGGACTGCCTTTTCTGGTCACACTTAAATCTTTCTGGTCATTTTTGGATTCTCCAAGTAATCTTATGTCTTCTGAAGTCACTGCCCTGAGGCTCACGTTTAAAAATTTTAGATGACATTTTACCAAGCACGTAGCATCCTTTGCAGTCCTGTATTTTCCTGCCTTGCTCTTTTAAGTGAAACTAATCTTTGACTCAGTGCTGGCCATCGTTACTCCGTTAAAGTTAGGGGGAAGGAAACAGCATGGCAGCAGTTCTATTGTACTTTGTTAAGAGAATTCCCTTACTAAAGACACGTTCAGGGAGACCTGGGTTTAGTGACCAGTTGACCATTCCACGAGCAGTGTCCCTGCTCCAGAGCTAATCGGTACTAATCTTTCATATTAAAAGTATTAAGAAACATAGTACATTAAAGCCTCATGAAGTGCAGTGGAGGATGATAGCTCACATTAGGGGAGCGAAATGTAAAACGTTTTGGCTTGGTAAATCAATGAGGCTTGATTTACTCATAAGCACGTGCAAGCTTGCAAAGGGCAGCAGCCAAATAATTATTGTTTATGGTGATAATGTAAGGAAGTCATTTAATCCAGTGACTGTTTCACTGTTATTTATTGAGAAGTAGCAACATTGCCTCTTAATGTCTGGGGTTGGGGAGCTCTGGCGTCTGGAAGGTTCCTGTGGAGTCCCAGGAAGGAATGCTCTGATAAGACAGCAGGTGAATTATGTGTGAGGACGCCCATCCAGATATGTCCCCCCAGCTTTTACACTGAGAAGTATTTATGTGAGCTTTCTACTGGTGCAATAAAAGTATTGGAATTCCGGTGCCTTAGGAATCATTCCACTAATTTTTATTCTCCCCATTATTAAAATTTCTGTAATTTGAATTGCAAACTCTGCAGTCTTGCCAGAAGGACTCTATTTGCCATTCAAAGTTGAATCAAAATTACTGGAGTTAGTTAATAGGTAACTTATTTGAATAAGGGATGTTTATTCATGAAGCGTTAGGAGAAAAGTGTGAATATGGCCTTCTGTTAGGTCGTGGAGGTGGATCCCTCCCAGTTCTGAAACTTGGTCCTAGACTGTTCTGGGGAATTGCTGTTTTCAGTATAGTTGACTGTGAAATGAGAGATGTGGCAGTTGGTTCACAGGACCATAAAGTGAGCGGGTGACAGAACTTATCAGTCTGTAACCATTGTTTAACTGTGGACTCAGAACTAGAATTTGATTGTGTTACATGAGATGATCAGCATTTAAAATTCCTCTTTTTAAAAATTTAAATGATATTTTAGTAATACTAATGAAACCTAGACAA